GAGAAGCCTGTGGTGATCTGGGAGGGAGCACGGGTGCTGAAGTGCCACCTACCATGGTGTCCGCGTGCCCAATGGCCTCAAAGGAGTAGTCGACGCCCTGCCCGGTCATCTCCGTGATCACCTCCTGGATGGGCTTCTGGAAGTCTCGAGGGTTGATGCAGTCGGTGGCTCCCAGCTCCTTGGCCTTGGCAAACTTGTCCTTGTTGATGTCCACGGCAATGATGCGGGAAGCTCCAGCTGCCTTGCAGCCCATGACAACAGAGAGGCCAACTCCTCCGAGGCCGAAGACGGCACAGGAAGAGCCTGGTTTTACCTGCACAGATGGGAGCCTGTGAGTCTCCAGCGGGAACAGGAGGAGGGAGAGGAGAAGGAGGAGGCAAAGGTTTCCTTTGCACAAAATTGATCAGGTTTTGAGGGCAGCCGTGGGGTGCTAAAGATTCCAACCTTAGCTGTGTTGATGGCAGCCCCATAGCCTGTGGAAAACCCACAGCCAAACAAGCAGACTTTGTCCAGAGGTGCTGCAGCATCTATCTTGGCAACGGCGTATTCTGGGACCACGGTGTATTCTGCAAAGGTGCTGATCCACAGGAAGTGGTGGATCTGCTTCCCTCTGCAAGAGAAGCGGCTGGTCTTGTCTGGCAGGAGGTTTTGTGGTTCAGAGAAACTGTGGAGGAGACACAAGTATTTGTATTTGATTGAGTGAAGCACTGATGGGGGTGTCAGATTTGTCCAAAAGTCAATCCCACGTAGATGTAGGGGAAAGCAAAATAAACTTACTGGGACTTCTGGCAGAAGTTGGATTCAGGATTCCGGCAGAAGCTGCATTCCCCACACTGAGGGATGCAAAGGGGAATCACTTTGTCTCCTGCAACAAAGTGGTTCTCCGTTAGGTGCCTTTTGCTCCGCAGTCCCTGAGGGCATTGCCTGTTGAATTACCTCTCCTGAGCTTTCTGATAGGAGAAACCTACCATGAACCCTCTGCTTTCCTTGTGAGGATGAATGCTCCAGACCTCATTCATCTCCATGGGGAACAGATTGGAAGAGTGGACATGAGAGTCCAGGGCACTGAGTCTGCACTCAGTTTTTTAACCAGTGACTCAGGAACAGGGGCAATTTCCTGATCCCTTGGCAGAGCTTTGAGGCCTGACTCCTGGGCATGTGTCTGAGTGTGTGTTGGTTACCTGGTTTCACAGAGGTCACTCCTTCTCCAATGCTTTCCACAATCCCAGCTCCTTCATGGCCAGGGATAACTGGGAATTCCACATTAGGCAAGGAACCTTTCAAAATGTGATAATCTGTGTGACAGATGCCTGTGGCCACAATCTGTTTGGAGAGGAAAGAGTAAATGGTGATTTCTAGAAATAGTCCAGCTGCTGTTTATTTCAGTTTGTGGAAGGATTTTGCACAGAACTTCTCTGGGCTCTTAATGTGATCGGTGGACACTGATCACTTGTTTGTATCCAAGCTACAGCCACAAGAAGAGCAAATCCCACAAGGGAGAAAAAATTCTTGAAATGTGTTCAACCGAGAGGAATACATTGCATGGGAACATTAGCCTTTAGCACATGGTTGAGGGAAGTCATCCTGCAATCAACTGAACCAGAGGTGATCAAACCTGGTGATGCTCAGCTGAACCTGAAACCAAGTGCTGTCCAGTAAACACTGGCCTAGTTCAGGGTCTGAGGAAACCCCATTTGTGGTTTGGGACCCAAAGAGTGTCAGGTGTAGCCTTGGAAAATTACTGGGTTCTGATGGCTTTGGTGGATTTTTCATAATATCCCCAAGTATTACTGGCCAGACTGTGCTGTCATGGGGACTGCAGATCCTACCTAGTGGAAATGCCTTTGGAGAACTTTGACATCATCCTTGTAACACACTGGGCTGATGGTGAGCGAGAGGGGTTGTAGAATTGTCCCCATCTGATCGGCACCTGGAGGGTTTTTTCCTTTACCAAGGTTTGCTTTGAGTGTGACATGGCTCAAACCCTTCCCGATCAACTCAAAGCAGCTTGGCACCAGCAAAATGGGGCTTGCAGCTTGAAAAGGGAATTGCCATGGGCAAGGAAGAGTGCAGGAGGTGAGCGGCTGAAGAGGGCACCACTGAAGAGCTGCGTTTGCTGCCAGAGCGGGAGCACAGGGTGGGGTTGAGCAGGAGGGTGTTTTTCAGAGCAGCACAATTCCATACTTTGCCTCCTGAGCAGCTGGGCAGGACAGAGGGGGAATGCACGACCGAATGCAGGCATGGACACGTGCAGTCGCCTGCGAGCAGAGTCTGGTGAAATGCACAGGGCTTTGGGAGAGCTGGGGGAGTAAGGTCGGGGGAAAGAGGCGCGCAGAGCGGTGCGCAGGCTGAGCCTTTGGCAGCGGATTTGGCCAAGAGCAGGGCGCCTCGGAAAGGAGGACGGGCAGTGCCTTGTCCTTACTTGTCCCGCAGTGGCCATGTGGTCTGAGCAGAGCTGAGGCTGTGGCTGTGGCAGGCTGGAGGGAAGCTGCTGCCCCGGCGTGTGCAGAATGCCGCAGGCGTGGAGCGGGAGCAGTCCCGGCGCGGCCCCGTCTCTGGAGAGCGCTGGTTAATGTGTGCCGGCTGCTGGATGCTGGGCGGTGAGTGCTGCGGGGAGGAGCTGGATGGCGGCAGGGAGAGGGCTGGGAGCACAATCCTCCAGGGAGGCTTTTATCAGTGACCCTGCCCTTGGGTCATTCCCTGCCCTCCCTGCCTGAACGGCTCAGAGTTCTCAGAAAGATTGGTTTATTTCTTCCAGTTGCTTCTGGCAGGTGTGTAGGGATGAGATCTGCATCTCTGCTGGGGCTTCCTCGGAGTCCCCTTTTTGCCAGGTTGGAACATTTGACCTGGTGGCCATT